TTAAAATGCTGGGTAGTTATTTGACCCAACATTGGGTCAAATATGGGCAAACCCAACGCTGGGTTATATAACAACCCAGCATTTTAATAAAAACATTTTCTTAAGTGAAGTGACTAGTATTCACTGTAAAGCGGCTCTACAGGGTCAGATCAATGTTGATTCAGTTTCCTTCAACAACACAGTCAGCATCGCAGAGTGAGTTCATCAGCTCTGAGAGAAGCTCTCGATAAGCAGCTCAGTTTACTCTGGCAACCTGAAACCCAGGAGAGGGGAGTCTTTCTCTGTCACTGACTGGGGAATTCCCATTGAGTTCCATTGTTGAGATGTTTCTAGATGAAGACACACCTCTTTACTGACACACACACAGGCATGAGCATTCACATCTGAACACACACACATAAACATATGCACACACAAACACATGTGTGCACGCATACACGCACGCACAGACACACACATACACACACACACACACTTAAAGACACAATCACTCACACACACGTATAATCACTTAAAGACAGACACTCGCACAAACACACACACACACACAACCACTCACACACACTCGCTCAAACACAAATCCAAGTTATCATACACAAGAATGGTTGTGCCAACAAAGAGAGCAGTGTGTGTGTGTGTGTGTTTGTGCGAGTGTCTGTGTCTGTCTTTAAGTGATTATACGTGTGTGTGAGTGATTGTGTGTGTGTGTGTGTGTGTGTGTGTTTGTTGAGCAGTTGTGTTGATGTGGATCACTTGTCTCATGTTTGTAACCAGGCCACATCTTTGAATGCACTCTGTGTGTGTGTGTGTGTGTGTGTGTGTGTGTGTGTGTGAGAGAGAGAGGAGAGCGGGAATCAGTGTCAGCTTCTCTGTGTCCGGTAGGGGGCGCGCTCTCTACTCTCCTCTGTCCACCTGCAGTGCTCATTGTGTCCGTGCGGCGGCGCTGTGAGGCCGGTCCCGCTGGAACACGTCTGTGAGTGTGAGTCCCGGGGGCTGGAGCGCAGGATGGCGGCGGTCGGTGCTGCTGCTGCAGCTGCTGAGGCCGAGTCGTCGGACAGTGAACCGGAGCAGGAGCACGGGTCCCCGCAGAAACTCATCCGGAAGGTCTCCACGTCCGGTCAGATCCGCAGCAAGGTAATAAAACACGTGCGTTTGTGTGTTTTGTGTCGCTTTCCAAAGAGGAAAAAGCGCTTGAGACCCGCAGCGGCCCGTCCGAGATCCGCGACATTTCCTGCGTGTCCAGAGCCTCCGGTACCGACCGACACCGGTCGCGGAGACGAGCGTGTGTGAATGTAACGGGACCGCGCGGCTCTGTGATGAACGGGCTGTGCGCGCGCGCGTGTGTGTTCGGTTGAATTGCAACATTGTAACTGTTCGTTCGGAATTCCGGAGTTCGAAAAAAATGATACATTGTAGCGTTTTCAGTTCCGCGGAATCTCCGTGGTTACAATGACACAAATTCCCTTACTTAACACCACCGTGCTCTCTGACTTCCTGCAGTTATTGTACTACAGTAAAACTGTGGTGAAAACATTAATGATAATTAAAATGTATGTTTATTT